TCCTTCTCCTCAAGGACTCGGCATCCAGCGGGGCAGAGGCGGGCGGGCTCGGCTCGCCAGGCCCCGGCTCTCTGTGGGGTGCCCCCGCGGTGTCCCCCCTCCCTCACACGAGTCCTGGTGTCGGGGAAGGCAGGAGGGTTTTTTTTTTTACCTCAGGAGAGGAGCAGCCTCCAGCAGGGAGGGGAAGGTACCGGCGGCGGGGGGTCGGGCTCCTCTCTCCCCCATGGAAGGTGTTTAACCGGTTCTCCCAAATCTCCCGGAGATTACGGGACGGGGTCTCGGCAGCTGGGTGCAGCGGAGGGGGGGGCCGGCGGACTAACCGGGGAGCGGGGTCCGGCGGCGGCGGCTCCTCGGAGCAGTCCTTCCCCTGCTGCGCGTCTTCTTGGCTCCAGGCGCGATTCCTTCCCCCTCATGTAAACCGGCCGGGCGCCGGGAGGGTCGCCGCGGGGGACGCTGCTGCCGGCGATGTAAGGAGCGGGGAGGCTCCGCGGGAGAGAGCGACGGGAGAACGGAGAGCGGGGGAGGCCGCCTGCCACGACACCGGCTCCGGGGAGTCGGGAGGCGCTCCGGTAGCCGCGAGTCTGGCTGCGACGGGTCCTCCGCGCGAAACCTCCGCTGCTGCCGCCGCTGCCTTATTTTACCTCTTTTTGTTGTTTTGTCTTTCTCCTTTTTTCCTGTCTCCTTCCCCTCCCCCCCACCCCCCCAGCGGCCGCCGCTTCCTGCCTCGGTGCCGCAGCCGGTGCCTCCCTCCTCCTCCCCACCCGGCCGCTGCCGAGCCCCGTCTCCTCAGGACCAAGCTGCCAAGAGGGCCTATGAGTACCGGCGGGGCGGCCATCTTGGTCTGAGGAGTGTAGTTCCCCCTGCGGGCCGCCATCTTTGTGGAGGGCAGGTCGTCCTCCTCAATGCAGGGCTGGTGGGGCAGGCTGGGGGCACCCCAAGCCAGTGTCCTTTGGCCGGCATTCGTTGCTATAATATCATGGGTAATATCTCAAAATCGTACCCCAAACACTGTAGGTTTATAACACCCTTTAGCACCGAAGGGCTGGAGCTCCTCTAGTGAACCTTACCCTGGGCCTGAGGGAGATGCATTAGAGCCGTTTTCCACATGGAGCGGAAAGTCAGCAAAATAATGTAACAAAATGTTTGGAAGGCAACTTCTGTGGAGAAAATACCACAGCACCTGACTTCTGTTTGGGTTTTAACTCTGGAAACATGGAACTGTGACACAGTGACAGACTGTCATATTGGAAATTGAAATGGGGGTTATTCACGGTTGGTTTCTGCTGCAGGGCCCACGCTGTGCTGGCCAGGTACTCCCCATCCGGCACGAGGGAAATTGATTCCTATTGCATGGGTTAAAGGGAGGTTTTCACTGATTTTCAGACATATTTGCCAATGAAGGGACAAGAGGTTTGAGCTGTGACAGCCAGCAAATCTCATCTTTCAGGATGATGGATGAGGCCATTACAACATTTTAAGCACTATAAATAGAGGTGTTTATGGGGAGGAGGATTACAGAGATGCATTTGTGCAACTGTCTCAAACGTGGTACCTTGGGACAGGATTGCCTCAGCGAAAAATTAAGGTTTATGGCATGCTTTAGGAAGTTCTGGATTGAAAGGGAATGCGTATCACAGCATAAACTATTCATTCGGCATGTATTTTATATAGCTCTGTTATTTATTAAACATTTAGTGATTATTACTTCATCACGCATAGCAAATCTGTATAAAAGCGATGGGCTTTGTTGTACCCAGCTGCCAGGCATATGAAGTGAAATTCCAGTTTTACTTCAGCTGCGGTTACCAGATGGGTAACACTACACATTACACATCTGATTTCTTTTCGGATATTCAGTTATGTATGTGGTCTATGGGCACAACCATAGGTCCAAACTGATGTTCACTGCAGAATTTATTCTCGCACAGGAATGTGGCTGTTCAGGGGCAAGCATCAAAATGTTTGTCTACTACAGTTCCATTTTGTAAAACAGTTCATTTCTGGGATGGGTGCCCTTTTGTACATCTACTAATTAAAATGTGCAAATAAAATTATAGTTCAAAAGTAAATAACAAAACCCTGTGAAATAGCTATATGTGGATACACTAGTAGAAAAATCAAGTGGAAAAGGAAACATGCAGACACATTTCCTGAATAATTTTCATTTAGTAGTGGGGTGTCCACTACAACTTCATCCAAGACTACGCAGTCGCCTGATGGCAAATTTGGATGATACGGATTCTTTCAGCAAACCCAGCATTTCTTAACAATTTTATTAAATCAGTTTTCTTTGCAGTCATGTATACCTTGTTTCCATGTGTGAAAATGGACTTGTTTACGTAGGGAGAAAACATCTTTGTGAACATGTAATTACTGGGTTATAATTTCTTCCTTTATTTACTGTTCAACCTGTGTGAGCACATCTGATACTAAGTATTATTTTCCTCTGTAATTTTTCTAGTCATACTGTTATTATCATCATCATCATCATCATCATCAGGTCCAGGGTTAACAAGCACTTCTGTCAAGAAGCTATGAACCTGGCTCCAGCAATAGATTGCTATTACATGAATAGTTTGGGAAAGACTGAGTAGATGGCCTGAATTTAATTTCAGGCATACCCTTGCAGTGCATTAGGGTAGATGCAGGTCACCTAGAGTGATATGAACAGAACTTCCAAAATCTGACTTTAATCACTTTGCTTGACAAACATGGTTTGCTGAAACCATGGAGGTTTCTTAACCTAGCATTTTGATGATATCAACTGCGCAGCAGGGTTTGTGTCATTTTATTCAGTCCCATTGAGGAAAAATGCCTGAACAATATGCAGGGATTGTAGTCATTACATTAGTTGCAAAAGGAGAATAAATCTCTGAAGAAACTGAGTATAATCTATATTTAGCAGCCTGTGAGGAAGTTGCCACTTGGATGGCTGGATGATGTGAAGAGGGTCTCAAATAATGAAAAGCATTTAACACTGTCCCACTCAACATCCTTGCCTCTAAAAGGGAGAGACATGGATTTGACAGATGGTCCGCTCAGTGGATAAGGAATTGGCTGAATGGTAGCTTTCAGAGTTGCAGTCAATAGCTCAATGTCTGTTGGACATCAGTGACTCTGATGTCAGTGGAGACCAGCGACAAGTGGAGCTCCTCGGGGTTGGTATTGAGACTCATGGTGTTCAACGTTCTTTGACAGCAACATGGACCATAGGATTGAGTGCACCCTCAGCTTGCAGCTCAGAAAGCCAGCCATATGCTGGTTTGCATCAGGAGTGTGGCCAGCAGGTTTAGAGGGGAGATTCTCCCCCTCTACCTCCACTCTCTTGTGACCCCACCTGGAATACTGTGTTCATCTCTGGGGCCTCCAACATGCGAAGGACACGGACCGTTGGAGTGAGTCCAGAGGAGGCCACAAGGGTGATCAGAGGGCTGGAGCAGCTCTTCTATGAAGACACAAGAGAGAGGCTTGGACTTGTTCAGCCTTGAAAAGAGAAGGCTCCAGGGAGACCTTAGAGAAGCTTCCAGTGCCTAACGGGGGCCTACAAGAAACCTGGAGAGTGGCTTTTGACAAGGGCCTGTGGAGACAGGACAAGGGGGAATGGCTTTAAAGTGACAGAGGGGAGATCAAGATGAGCTTTTAGGCAGAAGTTCTTCTCTGTGGAGGTGCTGAGGTGCTGGCACAGGGTGCCCAGAGAAGCTGTGATTGCCCCATCCCCGGCAGTGTTCAAGGCCAGGTTGGACAGGGCTTGGAGCTCTAGTGGAAGGTGTCCCTGCCCATGACAGGGATTTGGAACTAGATGATCTTTAAGGTCCCTTCTGACCTGAAACAATTCTGTGATTCTGTAATGTATCTGAGCTCTATTTGGAAGTCCAACAGGATTTCTTTCATTTGCCATGTAAGTTTTGCAGAAAGTAACAATCAAATCAACTACATGATTAGTTTAAAAAATTGTCCAACATTTTAAAATGTGAATTTGTTACTTCTCATAACAGTCAGATTTTGTTTACAGCCTTCTTTTGTGGGAGAGAATCTTCCTTTCCCAGCTGTCTAACACTGCAAAAACAAGCTGGTTTCCATGGAGCAATGAAGATATTGTTGTTGCTTTTCATTACAGACACACTAAAATCAGGACAAACATTCCTAAAAACTTTCTTACTCCTCTAATTCAACAGATAGCTAACAGAATAAGGAAGATCTTTTAAATCATTCAAGCTACAAGCTCAAATACTTATACAGTCAAATTAATGCTTTATCTTGTAGTGAGTTGTACACTGATTTCCTTGTAGCTTATGCCGTGATCCAACTTTTGGATAAAACTTGAAACATTATATCCAAATAAATGAAAAAAAAAACCAACAAACAAAAAACAAACAAAAAAACACCAAACAACCAGACCTTTGAGCATCAAAATAATGTGAATCTAGCTAATTTAGAAATTACATTCTAAATTTCCCTCTACCCCAAAATAAATATCCAATAATATTTTCGATGGGAAGGTTTTCTTAATAGCATTTGCTCACAGCGGTGAGGTTCGGTGCTCAGATTTGCTGCCACATCCACAAAACAGGTACCTGCAGCTCAGTTGTGATGTATCAGACACCTTTCACCTGAAAGGGATTTGAGACTGAATTACACTTGAAGTACTTTTAGTCATCATGGTACCTTCCACTAATCACTATCAGCATCAAATTGATTAATTTCTGGAAGCACTTTAACTCTTCTGGTTACCTTACAGGAGAGGATTCCCCTAGCCATCCGACATCATTAGGCAGCTTGAGCTGATGACTGCACTGTGCACTGCACTGTGCACTGAGCCGGCTCCCCCCCCCCCCCCCCGAATTATTCTTCAGGATCACAAACCCCGTGACAGCCTCTTCACTCTGAGACTGAATCACAAGTGGAAACATATTGCTCTCTGAGGATTAGATTTCTTAGCCCGCTTTTATTCTCACAGACTCACCAAAATATGTCACCCAGTAAGTGCTTGACTTAAAAATTTGGGATGGCTGAACTGGTGTAGAAAAATCGGTTCACTCACTTTTACTCAGAAACAATCTTGAGATCTGTGGTTTGCTTGGGTCTGGTGTAGAGCCCATTCAGCCCTTCAGTGTTACACACCCCGTGAAACACAGAAAAGAAGAAAATCTTCAAGGCAAAATGGAGCAGTTTTGTCCAATGGACCACAAAGCCTTGGTAAGGTCATATGACACATCAGATGTGAATTGTTAACAATAATTGCATAGATCTGGCTCACAGCTAAGCTAAACCTGAAGGAAATGGAATCCCAAGAAGCCTCTCCAGCTCAGTCACACCCCTCATCCTGGGAGACTCCGGGAGAGCAGATGTGTGGTTTGTGATATGCCCTGAGTGTTATCAAATCAAGGTCCTATTGAGCTATGAAGTGAAATGACTTACAGAGCTCAGAAGGAACTCCTTATGGAAAATGCCTTGCCAGCAACCCTCTTTTTTTTTAAATCAAAGGACTGTCAGCTCTCATGCATCTGCTGATTGCAGCTGTCATGGTGTCATCTGGAAAGAAAGGTGAACCCTTGTGACTCAACACGCAAACTTCAAATGTTAGCACAGCACACATTGCCGATTACAGAAACATCAGGCTGGCGCACTGTTGGTGGGGAAAATAAGAATTCAAGGTTCGTTGTACATTCAAAGTCATCTGCCTTAAAATCAACAAGGAGCAGAAAGAGGATAAGAATCTCTTTTCTAGAAGCTGAATTATCAACTGCATCTTATGTATCAAAAACTGTAACAAGGCCTGAATGTTACAGTTTTCTGTATGTTTTCTGTAGTTTTCTTAATGTTTTCTCAAATGTCAAAAGCCCTATCAAGATGTCTAGATCTCCAGTTTTACACTGATAATTGTTGTATCTTGTCCATACGTCAGTCTACAGCATATTAACACAATTTGGTAAATCAAAGTCAAAATTAACACTATACTGACAGCACAGGGACTTTAAAAATTTTACACTGGGTTGTACTAAAATTCAGAGGGATCATTTATGTGATTATTAGTCACTCAGATATTCCTCCACATTACTTTAGGTCTAATGTATCACATTAGATGCACAACTTGCACATGTTCAGTGGTAATAAAGGCAACTAACAGTCCTGAAAAGCTGAATCAACATTTTATCCTAAACAGTTACTCCAGGAAGGCTGAGCTAAAACTCTAGGCAAGCTGTCAGTAGCTAATATTAGCCTACAGGTAGAGAATTACTTTTTTTTCTTTATTATTTCAAAGCAATTTTCAAAGACTGCAGAAAATATTCTCTAGGCCACAGAGAAAATCCAACAGATCATTTTTGTGCTGATGCAGCTGCAAGTGCTGTTTGCTAGATCATATCTCAGCTTGGTCATTGCAATATCAAAGTATGATTTTATAAACCCGGTAAACCATTTAACTCTTGTGTAAAACACATTATACATGCTAATGGCTTCATTTGGCTAAGCTGGCTTCGTCATTTTTCTGCAGCTGGACGTAAGCACTGTATACTGATATACCCTCATAGGTTAAGCAACTCCTTAATGGAATATATTGCCTTGGAGTCTTTAGTCTTTATGAAAAAAGTCCCTATCACTGCCCAGAGAACTATTTTGTGTGCAGTAATTATGTAATATTAATGAGCAATATTATGTACAACTGTATTTTCCAGCCCATTCTTTGTATGGAATGTACTTTAGAATGACCTGACACTGCAAAAATGCCTCTAGCTTCCATGGCCCATGTAAAATACAATAAATACATAAATAATTTAGAGAAGGAAATAGGTAGTGTTGCAAAGGTGCTGGTATTCTTACCACTGTACTTCAAAATCTGGCGATGTGGCCTTTGGAAATGTGTTTTTCTTTTTTCACTTAAGGATTCTGCTTCTTCAAGCTGGAAAAAAAAAAATTCCACACAGGTGTGGAGCTTTAAAATGCAAATTTGGAAACTAACTTTGTAATTTTATTTCTGAAATTGTAGAAGGAAAAAAGCACACGAGAGGTATTTGCCCACTTCAGGCTTTCGCAGAGACCCTTGCTTATCTATGCTTAGATGGGATTTCTGAAGCTGAAGGTTCCTAAATTGTGATCACCACGACATAACAGCATTGCATCCATGGGAAAGCAGGAAGGAGATACCTCTGTATGCTGGTCTATATGCCCAAAACCCCTTTCCAGACAGACTTGTCTTCCATGAAGGCAGTTAGCCTGCAAGCAGGGCCTTGGGCACAGCCAGGGCGCCTTTTGCCAAGTATTTGGGAAGCTGATCCTGAGTGCAGTGGGTGAGCCAGTGCTAAACGTGCTGGGACAGCCTGTCCTCAGGCACCCACCAGTTGTCCAAGAGGCATCTGAAAGGCAGTGGTCATCCAGTGTGTTCATGCTTTGGAGATTTAGCTTCTCAATCTCTTGGGTTTGGGGAGTTTTTTTCCCACTTCTAAATTAAAGTAACTGGTTATTTAATTCCTGTTCATGAAGGGGGAGTGCATCAGGACTGTTGCAAGGGCCAGTTAGGGCTTACAAAGTACACTAGCGCTGAGTATAATTTTTACTACAACTCAGTGACACCTTCATTTCTCAAAGTAAGATTTCATAGCCTATTCATTTACAAAGTGGGCTAGTGCCTTTGGGTATTTGGGAAGGGCAAAAAGACAAATTGAAAAGCACCAAATCATTTAATTTCAAAGTGCATTAGGCACACACCTTCCAATTTTCTGACTAAAATGTTCATCAGCTTTTTCCAAAGAGGTTTGTATCCAGGGCACAGAAACAGTTTGTGGATTTTAGATTCCTGAAATACTTAACAATGCTATTCAGGGGAAAAAAATACTGTCTTCTTGTCCTAAATAAAACAGATTCACATGCAAAGTATTAATGAATCCAGCTGACAGCTTAAGGATAGAAGTAGCATGAACCCCCCTAAATATGACCTAATCAAAGATTTTCCAGAACAGAATTTCTGGAAAGTGTTGGGATATAATAAAAAAGCAAAGAGAACAATATTAAAAGTCTAATTCAGAGTGGCCAAAATGAGACTGTGGGGTTTTCTTCCACCCAGGGGTCACAGCCCCCCTTACTGGAGCATTTCAGGTCCTGATCTGTGGGGCTGGGTACCAGTGTGCAGTGGTCAGCCTCCAGCACAGTGCCTGGGCTGCTTGGCTCCTTTTGGAGCTTTGCTTGTTGGAATCTGTAGTCTCCAGGCTGCATCTCCATTATTAACAAGGAGAGCAGTGGTAATCTGCTCCATTATAGGCAAATCAAGTGCAGCTCTTTGGCTCCTGGCATGTTCCCAACACGGCTCTGAGAGGAGCATAATTCCACAAAATCCATAAAATTCAGAGCACAAGACTGCTGCTGTTCCCCCTTCCCCATGCCTTGCAGGTAATGTAAAGTCCTCTGTTGGGATACTTCACAGAGGAGGGACATATTCTGCATATACCTAATGAATATTGGTTTTCTATTGCTAAGGGGACGAGTTAAGAAGAGTTTCAGTTTTACCTTTGACTTCCCTACCTGATGGGTTTCATGTCATATTTCCACTGGCAAGGGGCTGGAGGGGTGACTGTTGCATATTCAGTGTTCCCCTCCTTTTGCCTTGCAGGGGAAAGAGGGTGTGTTTCCAGCAACAGAGTAGAATGAACTCATGCTTTCCAATTTTTCCCCATGTTAGGAAATAGGTCCTGTCTCATTACTGGTGACAGCACATATTGGTAGGTCATAGAGCAAAGGGAGAGCCTTGCGTAGAACAGCTGGGGCCCAGAGCCAGAAATCTCATTAAAGTAAGCTGCTGCTATTTCCAGCCTGTAATGGAGCTTTGGAGCTTGATTATATTCAGTGAAAGCAGGTCATTACAAACACAGTGCTTTTTGCATATTATCTAAATTGAAATAATAATATGTTCTCTCCTTTCATGTGCTATATTGATAAATCCCAACTTATGAATGAAACATGTTGATTAGTTAGTTAAAAATAATTAGTTTCATATTATGCTCCTAAGTTTAAGGCTTGATTAGTGCAAACAAATAACTTTTGATAATAAGTCATTTACAGATTATTCTCTTAAATGGAGCACACAGGCATAAAAATAATCTGCAGCAATAAATTGTGTTATTTGTTCTCTCTTTTCTCTTTGACTTGAAATGTAAGAGTACTTTTAGAACTTGAGAGGCAGAATGTCTATGTGCAGATTCTGATCTCAACAGCAATGGCTGCAGTGCAACTCTGGCTTACTTGATTGAGGTGACAATGTACCAGATAAGAGTATGGTGTTCTTTGATTCAGTCTTTCTGGTCATCTAGCTCCAAAAGAACAATTGCTGTTTACAATGACTGAGAACATTGCTGTGTTTAGCTTCTCCTTATTTAGCTTGCATTTAAGTGTTCTGATATTTACATCAGAACTGAGCTAATGAGTTGTTTTCTGTATTAGTGGTAGCTCTAAGTAACCTTTTCAGTTCTTTTGAAAGAAAACAAAGCCCTGCATGAACATTATTTTTCTACTTCTTCGTTCACTGAAGTCAGCACAATTCAACAATGTCCACAAAGCATAAGCACAGTCCTGAATATGGACATTTTCCTGAACCGGAGCTTAGAGCAGTCATAAGGACAAAGTCTTTTTCTTAGCTCCCCTAGGATTCTTCTCACACTGGTAAAAGATGGGCCTGTGACTGTGTACAGGAGGCAGTCACTAAAGAAAGACTGTACATTGATAGGATTATGGTATATAATAAAATTAGATAACACTGTGGTAAAAAGCCTCAGCTCTGTTGATACTGCTGTCTCTGCTGTTGCTCCCACCTACACAGCCTCTCTGGTGGAAAGTTATGGCTTTCAATTATCACTCTGAAAATCCAGCCCTATTTTGGGAGTGCTTATAACTTGTAGTAGTCATCCACGTTGTGGGAGTCTGACGGGGTTGTTAGAGAACATCAGCCTTCGTATTTAGGCGCTGGAGCGTGACAATTCTAGATGAAGCAAATAATACACTTTTGTAAAGCATTTCTATAAAACACTTTCCTTCCTGGTTGACAGGAAAACTTGTGAAGCCTGGAAAGAGAACCAGACCCATGCTCCATTCTCCCACTTTCCAGATTTCCAGCAAGGGATTTAATTCAATAGCAGCAGTTGTGGTATGGACACTTGTCCAGTGGTGGCTGAGACCACCAGATTACTGACAATACATAATCACAAAATAGCCAGGAGCTAGAAATGGCTAAATCTTTATTGTTGTGTGGAAGACCTGAAGTGACTTACTGGTTAAAAACTCTTCAGTCCTTCCCAATCCTCTCTGAGGGCACTTACTGAGGAATGGTAATGGTTTACAGTCTCAGAGTGCTTTTAAAGCACTCAGTGTCAGAAAAAATGGCATTAACCCACTCTCCTCTCCCGATTCTGGACCTGATTCTCAATGCTAATCAAGAGTAATTTCAGTGAAGGGAAGGGAGTTATACAAGACCTGTGTAAAAGTGGAATCAGATCCATGTATCGTACATTTAAGATTCCTGGCAAAATACACTCTATTTACTTGAGGAAATTAAAACATTTCAAAGAGTGGATGATTTAAGGGCTATGTTCTTACTTCCTAGAAATTAGAACAGTACATCAGGTAATCAATAAGTGTATAAAACTGTCTAAAATGCAAGCATTGCAGAGGTCAGGAATGGAAAAAAGCGCAGCTGAAATCACTTTACATGATATACTGGAAAAACAACATTATTTTTACCAGCAGCAGTGAGAAGCCATTGCAAAAGGCAAGAAGCTGATTTAATGGTATGGCAAACAACATTTGTTCCATAAAGCCAATTTTGCCACTTACGTGACAAATAAAACAACACAAAATTAGGCTGTTCAGCTAAGCACTTTAGCTCCAGCCTCCCTTGAACTTCGAGAAATTCAGGGGAACAAGAGCTTGGGTTGGGCCTATCTGTATCAGAAACACAGCACTGCATTTATACCATGTTATCAGTATTTTTTTCACTTCAAATCACAAGCACCAGGCAGTGTGGTGTGTATATCTCTATAATAGAAATGTCTCAGTTACATGCAAAACCTCTCCAGTGCCTTCCACAAGAAGAGGCTCCATTAAGACTAATGAAAATGCTGATTCTGCACAACAGATGCCACAGATCCTCCAGGAGAGCTGTAGGAAAGAAATGGACTCTTAAACAGGTAGGGAGTCACTCAGCTTCTACCCTCAAATCTGAAAGAGCTGCTTGATGAGGCTTGATGAGACTTAGATGGAAGCAAGAAATTCAAGAAGGAAATATCCAGGGCTGTGATAGCATAAGGAAGCTGCACATAGTTTTCTGACTTATAATAACTCACAGATCACTGTATCAGCTCCTGGGCTACTGCAGGAGTATAAAGAGGCTGCTAGAAAGAGGAACAAACACTCCTCTATGCTGCTCCCTCCCCCTGCATTACAATAAGCCAAGGCTTGTGATGTTTCGCCAAAGAATGGGGAAACCTAGGAGTGATTTTGGACAATACATGCTGGTGATCATGAGTCACTGGCTAATGTTAAAGACAGATCTACAGTCAGATGTGGTGTGTATAACAGTGACATTGTTTGCCATCAGTGGAGTTGCCGTTTGCTTTATGCCTGATCTGAATTTTGCGTATGTTCCTAATGGCATTAAAAGGCATTTTTGTTAATGTACAGTGAGGGGAATAAACCCCTGCGGTGTCAGCCTCAGTTTTGAATGGGTTGGCTTTTTTGGCTTGTCACATCTTTCTAGTGTCTAAACCTCTGCCTTTGTATTGTAATGTGGCGTGCCGTAAATATCTTTAATGGAACAGATTACATCAGCTAACCTAGTGTTGCCAATCTCAATATTAAAATCTGCAGCAGTAAGGAGCCCTGCCCAAAGGACTATGACAAGTATTCAGCTCCATTTATATTAGAATATAAAGTACAGAATGAACCCACATAAATTCTGGCAACTGATACTACCTGTCAGATAAGAATGGCACAGGGGAAAACAATCACAGAGCATCGAAGTTTCTTCTCAGAATTAAGAGCTGTGGAGTACTTGATACATTCCTTTCCTGAACTTGCTGTAGGTTCATAACTTTTTAGTAGTAACTCCCCATCCCCAACAGCCAAGCAAAAGCAAAAAGTAGTTTCCTATTTCTACACACACTGACTCTGTTAAGTTCATGCTGGCTGCAACAAGGGAGAGAGAGATCTGGTAGGATTTAAACATGTTTTCACCTTGTTTCAGATACACAAAAGACACTGTCTAAAATGCTTAAGAATATTCAACATTTTCTTGTGGTTTCTGTATGCTCAGTCAGCTGCACATTGACTGTGCTGTTCTCATGGCAATTCCAAGTTCACTTCAGGTTGTTTAGGGCCAAAGAAAATCCCATTCCTATGGGATACGTTAACATTACATTCCAGTGAGCTTGACCAGAACTATTGTCCCCATGTTAGACTTCATCAGAACTTCCTGTTTTTCAACCCTTACTATGAATATTCTTGGAAGAGACTGATCAAGGATTTATGTATCAAGTGTGAAATAATTAGACTTAGTGGGACACAAGTTCTAAAGCGTGGGAGGCATGAGTCAGCACTTCATCTTTCCAATGTTAATGATTTGTTGTTTATTTTTTAGCGATTTGCAAGGGAAAAACTGGACTGACTTCTCTGCATGGGACTTAAGGATTCTGTAACTGGAAAGATAAAGAAGTTGGCAAGAACTATCCACCATGCTGTTTTCTGACTGCTGCTAGCCCCCGAGAGATGGTTTCATTCCGTTAGTATTTACTGCCCATAAATTGCAACCAGCATGTTGAGATGCTGTTAGGAAAGAACCAATAAAAACACAGGAAATATGACTGCTCAAAATCATATTATCTACTGCAGGAATATGGAACCAGATCCTCATGTCCTGTGCCTTTATTTCAGCAAAGGAGCTGGCCTATTACTTCTATTTAAGATTGGTTGCCATGGTGGTATCATCCGGGCTTTCACCCTGATGAAAATTGTTTGCATCTGTGACGCAGTAGTGCTGGCAACCCAATGTTTGCATCTACCTCTAACACAGGAGTAATTGTGAGAATGGAACCTGGCTGTTCACCTTTGCACAGTAAACAGGTTCCTTAAGCACACACATAGCTCTTGCTGTTAAACCTGCATGGAAGTGGAAAAGCAGTTGGTTTGACAGCTGCTGAGGCTGCTGCGGAAACCTCAGACAAAATGGAAGTGCTGAAGTGAAACTGCATGAGCAGTCTGACCCTTCCCCAGGGGTGATACTGGTGCATGGGTGTGATTTTGCAGTACCAGTGGAATTTCTGGGAAGTTAAAGGTCTCCCATTTTCAAATAGATGGGAAGCCCTGCCTGACATTCAGATCCGCTGATACAAGAGTCTCTCTCTTCCATTTTCTAATGAGTCTTAATCATTAGTGGCTAGTGATCCTATTAGGTGAATGGCAGCCGCTACCAGGAGACTCAGAAATGTCAATGAACAGTAGAACAGGCTAAAAAAGGGACTTTTCATATGCATTTATTTTAGGTAACAGTTCAACTTCTGGCCCAAACTGGCCATGGGTTCAGGTGTAAGAGTGCCAGAATCTCATGAGGGTCCTTCAGAACTTCATCCTGCTTCCCACTGGATTCTCTAGGGCATGTTCACAGAAAAACCCAAGACAGTCCAGGCCTCAAAGGGACATTTAGGCTTGAAGCTTTCTGTCTAATTAAAAAAATTGTTTTGGAATGCTAAACCTCAAACAGGAACACATAGGGTTAACGCTCTTCCCTGCATAAGCTGTCAGCGCTATACTTTGAACAAAACAGCAGCAGCTTTACTAGCTAGAGTAGTGCTTGTTAAATTGAATTAGATCTGGAGCACTAGTATCAGTCCCTTCTCTTTACCTTTATTGGGAAATCCTGCTTTCCAGCATATGTGATAAGTGGGGGAGGAGGAACTCAAGAGCAGCTCTGAACAATGAACAAGGACCAAATGTTATCAGCAGGAAAGAAATTCTGCTAGTGCCAACTCCATAATGGCAGTTAGCATTTTGCAGAGCAGAATCGACCTGGGGCGCCGGCTCTATATTCCTCTCTAGTTTGCAAATAAAAAGCTGGGCAGTCGCCTGTCTGTCTTTCCAGCACACATACTGTATTTCAGCCTGCAATGCCGATTCTGCTGAGCTGTAAGTGAAAGATCTGCTGAGTAAGAAATTATTAAAAGCAAGCAAGAGCCTCATTGTCTTCTGGTGATGTCAGTGTGGCCCTTATCAATAATTGAACAGCTTTTCCAGGAACACAATCTAGAGAGACCAGAGCCTGTGTTACCACGTTGCCACTTCACTCATGTTCCAGGAAAGGTTGCTCTCCACAGAGGCAATATTGTGCCATTTCTTTATTCTGCAGGCTCACGATGCTGGGAGCTGAGGCAGTGCTCCATCTGATACACCACTTCCCACCCACATGCTGTCACACTTAAAAGCATCGCAGGCTTGAAATAGGGACCATTTTAAAAGGGACCAGCCTGTCTGCTGCAGGCTGGAGCCCACTGGGGTGTTCGGAGGGAGAGCTTTGGGTCTTTCAGAGTCCACGAGCCTTCACTGCTGGCTTTTCCTTTGGCTGCAGGTCAGAGCTTCACCCTGCTGCTATCACAAGGACTTGGCATAGGGCACACTGGTCACATCAGAGCACCTGGATACCAGAGCCAGGAGCTTTATATAAAAACTGAGAAGTGGATTCCTGAAAGCTCCCTGTTAAAAAACTGGCACCCAGAGAGTGGGAGAAGCCAGGTGATTTTGCATTTGTATCACGCCTGCAGCAGAACTCTTTCTCTTAAGCCCTTCAAATCAATACACCCCTCTAAGAAGGGGCAAACTTGTAATAAATGCAGGCACACACACACACACCCCCACCCATATATGAGGGAGATTACTCCCATGTCCTCCCTCATATTTCCCCCCAACATGAGGGAGGAAAGTCAGAGGTTAGGCCTTTTATGCAGGTGTGTTCTGAATAATACAAGCCTATAACTGTGCTCTCCTGACAACAGATTTTGTGGGACAGAATTGCATCCCTTACCACAGACCCTGTGGGTTACTCTGATGTCAAAAAGGGGCTACAGACTGTGCCCTTCAAGGCTCTGCTACCCAGGCACACTGTGGGTAAGGCCCTGGCCCCTTCAAGCTCAGCCTTATCATTACACTGTGATCAGGAGAGGCAAGAAAGATTTCTGCAGTAAATATTGGAGTGGGCAGTCTGAGCTGCTTCAAATTAGAGCAGCTCATAAGGAGCTACTAAATATAAAATCATCCTCAGTGCAGCTCCAGTTTAAGCCAGGGCATGCCAGCCCTCAGAGAGGCACAGAATCTCCTGGATGTAAATAAGTCAGGATGAGGAGGAGAATTTGAAGTTTATAATTGAAATCCTGAAAAACAAATAGAAAGGATGCCATGTAAAGGGAGGAGAGCAAAGAAACCCCATCAGCAATGTGAAATGTCCAGTATCTGTAGTCCTACAGTTTGGAATTTCAAGTGTCCTCTGCCACAGCCTTCTGCATTGCTCCGTTTAACTAGTCTCCTATCCTGCATACCTCCATATCCTCTCTACCTTGGAGGATCTCTCAGCTCATTCTAACCCTTCTCTCCCCTCTGGTTTCTTCTGACCATTTCTTCCCCTGTGTTTGTACAGTACCCCACAGCATATTGGTGGCCTAAAAGCCATTAGTAACAACAATAAATACAGTAATTAAATCTTTCAGTAACAGAACTGAATCTTCCATTGCTGCAGTCTGAACTCCACCTACTAAAAAGGCAGATGATGTTCTCTGTGGTTTTCCTGTGTTCCCCAGTTTTGTGGATGGTAGATCTAGACCCAGTTCTACATTTTACATGGGTGTAACTTGGTTTAAGGGGAGTAAAAGTGAGCAAGAGAAACAGATCTCCAAAACCCCTAAAACAGACAGGGTGGTGGTGGCAGGGTCAGGTTCCTGCTGGATATGATTGAACTAGTTCAGTGATCCAAAACTAGATCTGAACTTTACTGCTCTGGCCTATATCTGACAGAGATAAAAGATTCTATCTATATCCTTCAGGCCACACAAGCCCATTTCTAAAGCCATATTGTGTTTCCAGGTTATATTACAGACAGCTGACTCTGCTGACTTCTTGCGTCTGAATCATTCCTCCACTTTAATCCATGTTTTCAACTCCAGAATATACCTAATTCAACAACATCTGGAAATCAATTATCAGTAACTGCTGAAGTTTAATGAGGTGACAGCAGGACACACCAACTAGTATTTAATCATACAAGCCAGACCATGCCGACAGGTTTACAAATACCTTGCTAAGCTTCAGTGTCAACACAATTTTATATAGTGGAGGCAGGTCTTCTCTTGCACTGTACTTGCACCATCCTCAGAGTTGGTGTCATGATACTTTCTGTATGTATACTGTATACTGTATACTATATATATACAGTATATGTATATGTATATATACTATATATATACAGTATATGTACACTGTATACTATAAGCATGGCTCTGAGATGGTTTTCAAGTCCTCACCATACCCACGCCAACTCTACTGCATGTAATTAATCTGCATTCTGAAAATAATCTTTTAATCATAGCATTAAAGGCATAATTTAAAAAGAAAAAAACAAAAAAGGAGAAAGATAAAGAAAAACGAAAACAGATTCTACAGTACAAGACAAAATTAGTAAGGAAAGGTAGCTACATACCAATCTACTATAAGACAGCCCAATTTAACCTGTGGTTTTGTGATCTCCCGCTATATCAGTTTAGACCTATGAGGGAAAGTACATACATCTTCTAAATGGCTGTTTATCACTGAAGCAGGTGCCTTGCAGTCTTTTATCCCTGGCACCGTTTGAAAAATGAGCAGGGAAATGGAGCAGGACACATCTGACAAGTAGGAGTGGAGGCAGATGAGGTGGGCACCTAAACAAGAGCTGGGAATCTAATTTGTCTTGGTATCAACAGTCTTCAAGCATCTAAACATCTTTAGTACCTTGACCCAATTGACTTGGACACAGTTCACCCAATAAATCTGTAGCAAAGCAATTCAAGTGTCCCCAGGTCATCTGCTAGCACCTGAAATAATAAGCTATCTTTCTGCTGTGATGGTTTAGGCATCATAATAAATGGGTCTTCAGGATAGTAAAAGTGGTACTTTTACTGGCTTGATTTGAACTGTCAAGCAAGTAAAAACCCACCAGCTTATTTCCACTTGTGCAGCCTTGACTTAATTCTGGCAGCTTTCCTGAGGTGTATGTGACTTTTCCCAGAGTCAGTTACTACTGTAGGCTGCAGGCTGAAATTTGTCCAAGGTTCTATAGATCTTCAAGCAAAACTCTGCTCTCTGTACAAAATGTGTTGCAACAGTCAACTCCTGCTGAGCACCAGAAACTGGTCCAGGAATTACAGCACTGAGTGTTCAGGCTGGTGACAGATTGCTTTACCTATGCGTAAAACAAGAACATGAACCTGCAGAGATAATTAAGCAGTTGTTGCTAGGAGGCTTCAGAGCTGCTTTCTGAAGTTCTCCTAAAATGACAAGTGCTTTGTTTGGATTTGTAAGAACCTTTGAAAGCTAAGTACAGCTGGATCAAAATCACCATAAAAGGGAATTGGATTTGGTGACCCTCTGTTTCCTGAGACTGATATTTTCTGGGCACAAACCAGCTGTTTGAATCTGTTTCTGAAAGATTCAAGAATGAAAACCTGGGGGGTTTGATACTGTTCATTTGTACTAAGACTGGAGCAGAATATCTCAGTCCAGAATGTATATACCACATTTAGCTGTCATAACACTTGTAATAGAGATAGGTACCATTTAAGTTTTCACAGTCCTTGATCACCAGCCCAAAACCATGCAGTTTACACT